ATATTATATAAACATATATTAATAACAAATATAAAAAGAAAACATAAAGATAAAAAAAATATAAAAGAAAAATTAAAATAGTTACATTTAAAGCAAAAACATGCACAATTAAAAATTAGTTTCATATATAATTAAAAATGACTACAAATATAGTACACTGTATGAAAAATACATGCATAGAAAAATTTTTAACTTATAGTTTTTTTTTTTTTTTTTTTGATGGAATTATAATATATCTAATATATCTAAATTTATATCTATAAATAACAAATACCATATATAAAATAATTTAAAGTTTAACGTGATTCACAGAAAAAAAACTAATAGTTAAACAAAAAAAAAAAATAAAAAAAAATTAACATTAAATATATAACATTTATAATTTTAATTTATTTCAAATTAACATTAAATAATTTTTTTATCTACTTTAAGGATGAATATAATTTTAATGAAATATTTTTAAAATAACTTTACATATTTTAAAATTTTTTTCTTTAACTTATAAATATACGTTCTTATTTATTTTATTTTTTGAAAAGTTAATAGTTTTAATCTTACATAATGTAAATGTAATATTATGTATAATTATGAAAAATTAAGAATTACATTTCATATAAACGAATAATTTTTCACCTTAAAAATTTATAAAATTTACAAAAGTCACAATAATACCTAAAGCAATATTACAAATCTCTAACTTATCATTAGTAAAGATAGAAGCAATTTTGTAACTGGATTAATATCTCTAACTTTAATATTAAATTATAATAGTATTAAAATGAAAACATTTACTTTATATTTAAAAATTTTTACATTTCTTCTTTTAATTTGGATATTCCCTTCTTTTTACAAGGTAAGATAAAATTCATATAAAAAAAACACATATAAATATATTTTATTTCTAATCATTTTAAAAATTTTACTCAGTTTATTACTATAACAATTGAAAAAAAATTTTAAACAATTTTTATTTAATCCCATAGTATGATTCCAGTAAGTCTTTGATTAATAGAGATACATTACAAACAAGAATTGGGTTAAAACACGAAAGAATGTTAGCAGAGGATGATATATCAGAAGAAAAATCATATTATATTAAAAAACGTGTAGAACATTATCCATCTGGTGAAGAGGAGATGATACTTCATGAATTGTTTCATTTAATGGATATATATTTTACATGTTATAACGCTAATATTAAATCAGACTTTGAAATAGAAGTTTTTTTAAAAAAAGAAAATGAAATGAGAAATAAATGTAGAGATAAAATATTGAATACTTATAGAAATAATATTTCATGGTCAAATGTATTACCAGAAGTATAATTGACTCATTAGTATCGTAATACAAATGGAAAAAGGAAAAAATTAATTGATAGAATTTCAAAAAATCTATATTTATATTATGAAAAATTTTTATGTAAATATAAATAACAAGAAAAAAATAAAATAAAAAAAAGAAATAAAAAATTAAAAACTAGAAAATTGGATAAAAATAGACTTCGTTAAACTTTATTAAAATAAAAATTAATATATGAAAAGAAAATACATAATAAGCCATGGACAAGTGCTAGGTAAAAAAAATCAATATTTTTCTTTACATTTTTTTATAGAATTATATTTTATTTTCTTTAAAGAAGAAAAATAAAATAATTAAAAGAAAAAATATTTTTAGGAAGAAATATATTTATGAGAATATATTATATTTTTGAGAGTAAAATTTTTCCTGTTAGTGATATTAATATAATTTATATTTTTTTTTGCTCCTTTAAGAAAAAGAAAACTTGAATAAATGAAAATTATTCATTAAAAGTTATATTTGAATATACAGTACTTAAAAATAAATGTTTAATGAAAATTTATGTTCATAATAAAAATAATAAAATTTTTATTAAAGAAAATAAATTCTCAATAAGTTACATAATTTACTGTTTACAGGTTTATAGTATCTAAATTACATTTAAATTCATTAAATTAGTAGAGAACGTTATACATTTTCTTTATTAATTATTCTATTTATTACCTGATTATTAATTGCTCGTTCAATGACTTTAGTAATATTAAAAAACAAAATAATAAAGAAGCATAGAGAAAAATTTACTTATTTTATTTTTTTTTAATTAAAATATAATACAAATTATTCACTTTCATTAATTAATATAAAATAATAATTGAGTTATTTAATTACTAATGTTATTAATTTACCCAATATGCCATGCATATCACGTTTTTACATTGTATTTTTAATCTTCCAAAAAAAAATATTCTAGATCATCTCCATTAAAAAAAAAATAATTTTTTTTTAAGATAATGATTATTTTTTAAAAAAAAAAATAGTAAAAAAATTATTGTAAAAAGAAAATAAATTATTTTTTTTTTCCACGTTAGTGTTACAACAAAAAAAAAATATAATAAAATATATCTATATTTTTTTTTCTTATATTTACTTTTAGAGAGAGTAGTTTTTCTTTTTAAGTGTACGCATTTATGTGTTCACCTTTTCGCAGCATTCGAACATGCTGATTTATTAGTTGGATGGTTGGTGACTTTGCTAGAGTATTAAAAAAACAAATTAATAAAGAACATGTAGAGTTTCCTCTACGATTTAACGTATTTATATATATTTTTAAATACTTTGATCGAGTGATCCTTAATTATGTTATTTACTTTGTTCAGCATTTGGTTCATAAAAGGCTTCATTAACCTTTTTGGTAATAAAAAGGATTAGCTATTGGTTTATTAACTGGGTGTTCGTGGACTTTACTATAGAACTGAACAAACCAATTAATAAAGAGCATGTAGAGATGCCTCTACGATTTTTGTATATTTATATATATTTTTAATATGTTTTGAACAAGCGATTCTTTATTATGTGCTCTACTTCCTTCAGTATTCTTTAATTTCAATAAGCATTTATTTACTTTAATAAAAATCCCTATTTTTATTAAAAATTTAAATCCTTATTGAATATTGACTATTAATTAAGTGTAAATTATTCATTTCTTTGTTATGAGTTACGTTCAGTAATTTTAATATATTGCTGTTGAATTAACAAACATAAACAATTAATAAAAATGCATATAAATTATATGAATATTAATTACGTGAAAATTTTATTATAAAATGTATAAAATATTCTCTCACAAATTCAAAATATAAATATTATGCAAATTAAACTCTTTTATAAACACATTATTATCTTTTGTAAAATATATTTCTCCCTCAATAAATCCCTTCTCTTTCCAAAAAAAAAAAATAAAATTTTTTTTTTTTTTTTTTTTTTTGCATCAAGAATTTGCATGTACACTATATATTTTCCACACAACTATTACCGCTTATTCTCAAAAAGATTAATAATACATTTTATTAACTAACATGAAATTGCTAAGTAAAAAAAAAAGAAAAAAATTAGTTAATGGTTTTTTTTATTTTTGTAATTTAAATGCACAAAAAAAAAAAATTTTTCTTTTTTTAAAAGGAATTTAGTTGTCGAAAAATAGAAGAAAAAGTTATTGACTAAGAAAGTTTATTGTGGTGTATTTTTGTTTAAATTTATATAAGAAAATTTTATGTTAACTATAATATAATTTTTGTGTTTTGTAGTACTTGCGTAATTTAATTTGAATTTTATCAATTATTTATGCTTGTTAATTTGAGAGCAATAAATTTGAATTGTTAAATATAAATCATAATATAAGTAAAATAAATGTAATTAATGTTTTATTAATTTTTTATTCATTACTTTGCTAGAGTATTGAAGAAAAGGATTAACAACGAGCATATAGAGTTTTTTCTACAATTTAAATGAATTTAAATATGTTTTTAATAATATAAACCATTGAAATGTATATGGTCTCCTTCATTGAGCATTTATTGTTTTTAAGAGGGATTTAATTATTTTAATAAAAATTCCTATTTTTATTAAAAATTTAAATCTTTATTAATTATAGTTTTAAATTACATATATTTTACTTATAATGTTATGATTAATATTTAACAATTCAAAATCACTTCTTGCAAATTATAAAATATAAATAACAAAACACAAAATAAGTTATACAATACTGCAAACACGAAAATTTTATTATTGTTAATATTAAATTTTCTCTTTAAAATTCAAAGATAAAAATTTTCCACGAAAAAACTTCTTATCAAGTTTTCTTCTATTTTCTAATAACTTGAATATTTTTTTCACACTATTCAATTCTTTTTTTCTTCATTTATCTAGTACTTTCATGTCTGTTTATTTTCCATACAGCTATTAATTTTTTTCTCAAAAACGCTAATAATTCCTTTTATTAACAAATCTTTAACTCTAATAATTCTCAATAAAGACTTTTTTTTTTTTCCTTTTTGTGTCCTTTTTTTGTTATGTAGGTAAGCTGGTAATAGTTCTGCATCCAACTTTTTTTTTTTATCTTATCCTCTACGTTTACTACCTGATTTATTTACTTTCCATAAATTACATTTTTAATTTATTAAATTATCGTTAAATGAATTTTCTAGAGTAATGAAAAACAAATTATTAAAGAGAATATGGAGTTTTCTCTAATAATTAAATTGATTTAAAATCTAATTTTAATGATATAAACAAATAAACCGCAATAATACAGTTCACTGTAAATTTACTTTGATAAAAATTATGTATTCTTATTAAAAACATATATTCTCATTAATTATTAATTTTTAAGTACAAAATATTTATTGCTTTTTATAAATAGTTTTCAGTAATTTAAGTTCACTGCTTTTAAAAATAATAAAAATTCTTAAAAATAAAAAAAAAATTTTAATTATATTAATAACACTTAACGAAAATTTTATTCTTAAAAATTAAAAAATATTCACATGAAATTTTTTCTTTCTAAAAAATTTTTCTCATATAATTTTTTTTTTTTAAAAAATAAAATATATCTCTATAAAAAAAATTTAGACAAAATATTAACTTTTCTTTTTTTTAACTAGATCTTGTGCATGAATAATCCTATATTCTCTGTTAAATCATTATTTTTTATCAGGGTAAATATTTTCAATCCTATGAAAAATTACATATTTCATTAAATCAAATTTCATAGAATTTATTATTTTTTTTATCTTATCTTTCTTAGATTCGGATTCTGCTTTATTTTCTCTCATCTCTTTGTTAGATTCGGATTCTGTTTTATTATCTGTCATGTCTTTCTTAGATTCGGATTCTGTTTTATTGTCTGTCATCTCTTTCTTAAATTCGTATGCTGTTTTATTGTCTGTCATCTCTTTCTTAGATTCGGATGCTGTTTTATTATCTGTCATCTCTTTCTTACATTCACGTAAAAATATCTCAAAATCTGAGTCAAGTTCTTTCATAATACTTTCAATTTTTTTGTTTTTTTCTTCATCTGGAATATCACATCGACGAGGAATTAAATATAGATCATTAACCTTCGTAGATGAAATTTTATTAAATTCAACATTCCATTTTTTTTCTTTCCATTTAGAGTCCATTCCACTTGTTTCTTTATCAAATCTCTCCCAATATTTTGGAATAATGACCTCATTCCATTGATCGTACGGATCCTTGTATTGAACCGGATTTTCACATTTTTTTTCTTTATTACCTAATGGACTTTCTTCTATGCATTCTTTAGTGTATGTTTGCTTTTTTCCTGATATGTTACCCTCTGCTAAAACTCTTTCATATTTCAACTCATTTTTTTTTTGCAATATATTTTTATCAATCAAAGTTTTATAGGAATCACACTATGAATTAAATAAAAATTTTTAAAAGAATGTTTTTTATTTTTGGAATAGTAAATCAAATAGAATATTAAAAATAATTAGAATTAAAATATATATATATATGTATATTTTTTGTAAAAATTTTAACTTACGTTATAAAAACATTGATGCATCCAAATTAAAAGAAGGAATGTAGTAACTTTTAAATAAAAAGTTAATGTTTTCATATTAATATATTTATAGAATAATATTGAAGTGAAAGTTGTTAATTCAGATGTAAAATTGTTTCAATTTTCAATAATACTAAATTATGGATTTGTAATATTAATTTAGATAATATTATAACTTGTATTAATTTCTTAAATTTTTAAAATAGAAAATTATTCTCATATAAGAAATGTAATTTCTAATTTTCTATTATTACATATCATATTATGGTTACTTTAGATAGGAAAAATATTTTTAAATTTTTAAAAAATAAAATAAGAATGTTAATTTACAAATAAATGAAAAATATAATAAATCGGATAAAGTTATTTTAAAAATATTATATTAAAATTTTATTTATCTTTAAATTATGTAAAAAAATAAAATATTTTTAATTTAATGCATATAAAAAATACAAATCATATACGTTTAATGTTAAAGGATTTTTTTAATTTTTATTTTCTAAATTACTACTCTCTGTGAATTAGATCGAACTTTAAATTATTTTATATACGGTATATTATGATTTATAAATATAAATCTTCGTATATTATAGAGATATATCTCCATCAAAAAAAAAAAAAAAAAAACTCTATAAATTAAAAATTTTTATACGCATGTATTTTTCATACAGTATACTACATTTGTGACAATTTTTCACTTAATATAAAACTAATTTTTGTTTGTGTATATTTTTCTTTTAAATATAACTTTTTTGATTTTTCTAATATACTTTTTTTTATCTTAATTCTTTTTTTTTTATTTTTATTATTGATAATTATTTATACAATATATGTATATATTTATTTTTTGTTATAACTATTTTTTAAAAAAAATTACTTTTTCAACTATTTGAAAAAAAATAAAAAAAATTTATTAAGTACTTAAATTCAAAAGAAAAAGTGAAGATAGGTATTTATTTTTAAGAAATTATAATAACAAATCTTATAAATAGCACATTTAAAAGTCAAATAAATTAATTACAATTTAAAAAAAAAAAAAAAAAAATACTATTTTTTTAATCACATATTTAAAGTAAAGAATATTTTTTAAAGAAAGTTCTATTTTTTGACAAATTTACTTCATTTATTCTAAAAATATATTTTTATAAATTTACTTTTTTACGAGCAATACTTATCAGTTTCAAATTTAATATAAATATTATTTACTGAATGTAAAAATATATCTTTAATTAAATATAATAGATTTTTTCTTATAAAATTGAAAAGAATGCATTTTTATCGTGATTTAAAATATATCAATAAATAAAGATAAAGCAGAATTATAAAATAACTTTTTGCATATATATTATTATAATCTTCTAATTAAATATAAAAAATATATATTTTTTTTTTTTTTCTGCCTTTATATATTTATTTGATACGTGTGGATTATTATTACGATGTATTTATTTTCTTTTTTATTTTTAGTTATAAATGTTTATAGAATAATTTTTTATTTTTCATTTTACTTACGAAATTTAGATAACTCATTTATATAGTATAAATGAATTCAACAATTGTCCCTTTCTAATATAACTCTTTTCTTAAATGTTTAAATTTCATAAGACATCACTGTAAATAATAATGGAAAATTTTAATAAGAATTTTTATTTTTTAAATTTAATTTGTTAGAATCTTTGATGTATTATTAATAAAAAGTGTTGTGTATAAATACTATCATTTTTAATATTTTAACACTAATTTTTCTCTAAGAAATAATCATAAATTTAATAAAAGTGTATTTTTTATGATTTATGTTTTTTTAATATTATATGTAAAAGTTGTTCTTACAAGTAAAAATATGTAAGATATAAAAGTTTCTTACATTTAACATAGATATTACATGATATTAAAATAATTTGAATAGTGTGTGTATTGCAGATTTACAAACGTAAATTATCCATATAACAGTTTATGAAGTATTAAAATTATTATAATTATTATAAATAAGATAATATTCCTAAGGAAAAGAAATTATTTATAGCTCTAATTTATTAATGGCTGTTAAAATACTTTTCTCGTGTCAACCAAATAAATTAATAAGAAAAATGTAGTGTAAACTCTACTTAATTTTAATATAAATTATTTATTTTTATTAATAAACATTAAATATAACTTATTAGTTAATTATATTTTTTTTGATATAAGCAACACTCCAAAATATAATTTTCTTAATACTACATTCTAGTTTAAAATAAAAATATACATTCTATAGTAGTCTTCACATTATCCTCCCAAAAAAAAAAAAAAATCTAATTTTTTTTTAAAGATTACATTTTTATTTTTGTAATAGAAAAAATATAATCATAATATATATTTTTTTTTAATTGTAAATACCCACATAAAAAAAATATTATTATTTATTTATTTTTTTTTTAAGTGTACTCACTTTAAGTGCAATTAAACATATACATATATTTTTTGTTTACATACTTTTTGAATAACTATTTTAGAGCAGACATTTATGATAGCAGATTGTCCTTGCGAATTAGCATGCACAAAATAAAAAGTTTTTATTCTATTTATTCGTGTAAATATTATACAAAAAAGGTCAATAGTATTGTTTATAGAGCAATGTATTAACCAATATAAACAATATAGGTAAGGCTAAATATGTTCACTATGCATTATGAAAACTTAGTGACATTTCGCGAAAATAAGGTACAATATAAAAAAAATTATTTTCAATAGTTATAACTTTTGAAATGTTTGATTATTATATTAATGTTTTTATGGTATTGATTAAAACTTATTGCAGAGGCCTTATAGGAATAGATTTTATTAACACTAGAAAATTATATGGTGGAAATTAATATTTTTAGAATTTAATTTAGAATTTTAACGGATTCAGATAATTCAAAAATGTCACGATTGTTGGAGAATCAAATCAATAAATAATGACACTAATCTTAACTATATAATTTTATTTTGCATTAAGTCATTGGAGGATTATGAAAGTTTTTGTGTTATTTCATCTTATCAAGATATGATTGATATTGTAAGAGAAAAATAATATTCCAATAGATGTAGTATGAATAAATAACTTATCTACTCACTATAAAATAGAATAGTTATATATACAAGGAAGATATAAAACTTATTTAATGTATTTCTTTCGTAGTAAATTTACTGGATGCTGTAGAGTTTATTTATTAACTGGGTATTCGGGGACTTTACTATAGTACTGAACAAACCAATTAATGAAGTGCATGTAGAGATGTCTCTACGATTTTTGTATATTTGTATATATTTTTATTTGCTTTGAACGAGTAACTCTTAACTATGTGCGCTACTTCGTTCAGTAATTAATATATATTGCCGTTGAATTAGCAAAACATAAACAATTATTAACAAAAACAAAATAAATTATATAAATATTAATTATATGAAAATTTTATTGTTATATGTATAAAATTTTTTTTTACAAAATACATCATCCAAAATATTTCCTTTAATTCCTCACTAAAAAAAAAAAAAAATTTCTTTTTTTTTTTTTTTTTTTTATTCATATATTTTTTTAGTAACAAATATTTTAAGAAAATTGATTTTTTTTAATCAATTTTTTTCCTGATTATTTTTACATTTTTTTTATCAAATATTTTTTTCCTGACAGTCTTTGTACTTTCTTTTTAAAAAGTACAAACAAAAAAAAATCATCATTTTTTTATTTTTGTGTGTGTATGCATGACCAACTTCGTATACTTCATTTAACTAGTCCTTTTATTTTCCAAAAAGTTTAATGAAGCCTTTTATTAACCAAGAGTCAATAAAACTTTAAAGAAAATTCAACAAAAATTTTGCTGGATAATTATTATTCGATATATTGAGGAATATATCACGAATTGTTTAGTTTATCAGGTAATGTATAATAAGATGATTTAGCCTAATAACCAGTAATTATTAAAATCTAATATATTTTATATGGTCTCATTATATATCATCGGATTCAAAACGTGTAAAGAAGAAAATTACTATATTCAGAAGGCTATAAATCACTATTCACTGTTTATGTTAAATAGTGTCATTAGAAAGTAATGAACTACTATCTATACAATTTCTATGATTACAAACATCTAAATTCCTATATTTGGATTTCCCGGTAGTATTATTATAGATCGTGCTTCTATTTAAATGAGTTAAGAACTTCAGAAATGGGTTACAGGATAATTACAAATAAAATTGTACCATACAAATACTCGTTATCCTCAAAGGAATGGTATTAATGAAAGATTTCATAATAGTCTTAATTATATACTTAAGATCATATATGAAGAAAAAGATACACCTGTTGGTGAAATGATAAAAAATGCATTATTGATATTTAATAATACACCTCACGGAGTTGTTGGTTAATAAAAGGCTTTATTAACCTTTATGGAAAATAAAAGGACTAGTTAAATGAAGAATACGAAGTTGGTCATGCACACAAAAAAAAAAAAAAAAACATGATCAATTTTTTTTGTTTGTATTTTTTTTAAATAAAAAAAAACAAAGATCGTCAGGAAAAAAAAAAAATTGATAAAAAAAAAAAAAAAAAAAAAAAAAAAAATTGAAAAAAA